AGAAGCGCCTCGAGACCCGCCATGTCCAGCTCGGCGGGCATGTCGGCGAGGTACACCAGCCTCGATCGCGCGTCAGCGGGCATACTCGATCACGATCGCGAGTTCGTGCCGATCAGGGACCCAAGGGAACGCAGCCGGGACCGCGGCCTCTACCTCGAGGATGAATTGTACGGCTCCCGTTCCGCCAGGCAAAGCCCGAACCCGCACATGCTGCGGGACAGCGGCGGCTACATCGGCGAGCTGCAGCACCAGAACAACGATCTCCAACGAGAGCTCGGGAACCTCAAGAAGGAGCTCGAGCTGACGAACCAAAAGCTCGGCAGCTCGATGCACAGCATCAAGACCTTCTGGAGTCCCGAGCTTAAGAAGGAGAGAGCGTTGAGGAAGGAGGAGAGCACCAAGTACAGCCTGATCAACGAACAGCTGAAGCTGCTCAACTCCGAGAACCAGGTCAGTTAGCGCTGCGGAGATTTTCCTTTTCGCTTCCGCGTCGCAGCCCTTTGCGCTCTGACGGCCTCTTTTTCGGTAGTCGCTTCATCGATCACGTATTTTACGCTTTCCGAGAGTACCGCACGCGAGTCGAGCGATAGAGATATTTCGTTTAAATCGCATGGTGTCGTATCAGATGTAATATTCGCTGCTGAAGCTTAGAATTTCGCTGCGTCGAGGTAGCTAACGATCAAAGGCTTCGCAGCGCAGAGGGCCAAGGCGTTTCTCTTTGTTCCCTTTCGAAAAATCGGTTCTCCCAGTACGCGCGTACGCGATTTTGATCACGGTTCGATCGCGAACACGCGCACAGGGCTCTTTCTTCCCGTTTCGACACCCTTTCCGCGCGTTCTCCTCCTCGCCCCCTTCGCTCGATGACGTCCGCGCGCGGCTGGAATTTAGGTCGAAGCGATTAGGTCGAACCGCTTCCAGCGTTGCTCTTTGTGATCGCGATCTTTCCCCGTTTTTCTAACGTGCATCGCTGAAATCATCGTCTCGGCCGGACTGCAATTGCTTTTTCCACGATCCGCGCGGATTCCGGGGCGAAATCGGGTCGCGAGTTTTTCACCGGGATTCCCGCGTCATCGGAGGGCTATCGATCTACGTGCGCTACTCGAGGACTCGTTTTTCTCCCCGACGTACTTTCCTTTTTTTCCCCCGACACTTCGTAACAGACCGTGTGTGCTTATCGATTGGCCAAAAATGCGCACCCGAAGGGGGAGCCACCGATTCGCAAGAGCGTTTTCCGCGAGATCCTCCGCGAAACTTCCGTTGTTTCTTCGATTTCAACGCGCCCATTGAAAGCCCCGGAACCGTAGACCCTGCTCCGTGTATTATTCCAATGGTTAACCGTGTTAATCTCTTTGTCAAGAACATCGACTCGTTTTCTCGTTCTTAAAACTCTTAAAGAACCCGTGCTTCGCGCTGCAAAGCTGATATTCTTCATCTTTGTTTTCATTTGCCCCATACTTCGCCGCGTTCGTTATTTCCTCAGTTTTGCTACTATCGTTACGTCTGTTTTTCCTCAGCTTTGTTTCTATTACAGTCGAACCTCTAAACTTCAATATTTTATGTCTTCACTTCTGCATCGATAAATGTTATCATTATTGCACATCTCTCAAGTTTCCATCTGGTGTCTTCACAGTGCATTCGCCGAGTTACCTTATTATTTACTCTTAACACATTGTTGACCGACAATTTTACGCAGAAGCTATGTCACCGGTATTCTGTAATTAAATCCAAAAGTGGAACAATCTAAGCTTCGATATATCTTCATTGTATCTAATGAATTGGAACCTAAAATCGGGCATATCTTTTAAATAAATTTCAACATTCTGCTTTTGCAACATCTCACTGCCCTGCGCTTCAAAAATTGAAATAGCCAATCCCAGTGCGATCACGAGTTAACTCCTGACCGGTCAGCAATGCGTTAAACGTTTAACACTAGGTTTACGGTAATTTATTGTACACTTCATTCTATTAATCCTAAAAGAATCGATGCTCGTTTATTTAGATTGTGGAAACTGGAGATTCGGTAGTAGGTAATTGGGGTACATGTCAGTGTGACTGCATCAATCAAAATCGGCGTAAACATTTAGAAAATAATATTTCTAGAATCCAATATGCGTCAATTTCACGCGTTCCGTAAACCTAGTGTTAACTACAATTCTGAATTAAAAGTTCAACACTAAACTTACCAGACGGGTCAAAATGACCTATTCTTGATTTCTTGCCTTTGCAATGATTAAAAAGTAACATGTTTCTCTGAGAAATTATTAACCAGTTAACCGTGACGAGTATACACGTCGTCGTAAAGCTTCACATGATAATTCTTTCATGAATTCTCTATTTTCTCACATAAACATGTAATTCATCTGTTTCGCTTTGATCTTTCATTAAAATATGTTATTCTATTACGTCTAAAAATTCGATGTTGAATATTTAACCAACCGTAGAATTTCGTTAACCCTCTACAGACTCGTGTAACTTTGAAGTCAATATACCGGGTTAAACTGATTTATCGAACTTCTTGCCGGAAAATGACCAACGAAGTGAAATAATTACTCAACTTAAGTTACAAACTATATTCGTCTCAATAAAATTCTTAAGACCGTCGAACACATTGTTAACCAGTTAACCGTGACGAGTATACACGTCATCATAAAACATGACACTAATTCTTCCAGCGATAAATTCCTTATTTATGTTAAAAATTCTCTACATCAAATCTGAATTACTGTTTCTATAACGCCTACATACATTTCCGCCGAGTATCGTATTCTTACGATCGTTACCGTTACCATTACCATTATCGTTATTACTAAACTGCACACGACGAGCGCGACCGACCGCCGCGGCGACGACGGAATTCAATTAGATCCGCCGTACGACCGCGGCCCCCGCCCCGCCTCGTCCCACCTCGTTCGCCAACGGAAGAATCCGGACCATTCACAATCGGCATCGCAACAAGTTCTAAGTCGGGGCTTGTCCGGAATTCTTCTTCGCGTTTCCTTGAACGAGCGGCGCGCGCGGGGGTACGCACGCATCCCGCTCGCCCTCGAGGACGCCGGAGCTCGGATCAATATGTTAGCTGTTCGCGAAGCCCGTCGCATATTTATATAATGTCGGCCGAAGTCACGCGTCTTCCAGGGAACTTTGTCTTGCGACGCGACCGATCGCTGGAAATAATAATAACGACATTATCGCGTACTTTGGGAACGATTAGCGGCCGAGATTCGGCGTTTCCCGCTGCTGCGATGGATGACTCGAACGTGTTACGGTTAAATTTAGAAACTATGCTGGGGTTAAAGTGCACGGTGTCGAATGTAAGTTGCAGTCGAGATCGAATGATATTAAACGCCGCGAGAGCATTCGTTCACGAGCGCTTTGGACTTGAAACGCGGAATCTCGATGTTTCGAGTTATCGAGGTTAGAAGTGGAGCATCGCACAGATCTGTTGAAATTTAGAAATGGAAGAGGCAATTAGTTTCAATGATTACACTATGGAAAGCGATGAACGTATGGATTTTGAAAGTATGGAGAGCCAATTAACGGCTGATGTAAATTTCGAGATGATTTACAAATCGAATGAGATATAGATTTAGGAACTGGGGAAGATCACCGGTGACACCAATCAAATCGACTTTGGTTCGCTCAATTAAACGATGGTTATTCGAAAATATTTCTATATTAAATAATGCTAATGCGGTGTTCAGCTAGATGGACGTGCAATAGTAATGCAACTCGATCGAATGATTTAGTATTTGATTTTTTCCATTTCGTGTATTTTCCGCCACGAAATCGTGCGGCGTTCGACGCGTTAAAGGGGTGTTCCACGTCTCGAAAATAAAACTCAAGTTTCCCGAGCACTATAAACATCTCATTTGAAGGCGTTTGAATAGTTCCGCGGCTGACTGTGGAAATTTAGAAGCTGCGGGAGGCGAATAGGGAACAGAGAGATCACGACAATGCCGAGCACACGTAACTTTTCCCAAGTGAATAAAGAGATTACCGGCGGGCAAAGCTTGTAAACGCGAAAGTGTCTAAGTTGCTTTATGGACAAGTTGGCCGGAGATGGGAGATACGGTTTCTTGGTTGGACGTTTAGCTCCGCGTAAACTTTTCAGACTTTAGATGGGAAAAAACGTGAAGACGAGGCTCGAATGTGTCGACTGAATGACGAGGGTATCATCGTGGCTTGCGGATGATACGCAATTTTTCTCGCTGATGCGCTCTGCAGCGGCGCTGCTCGGGTTTCATTCGATTACGATCACGTGTACCGAGCAAGACTCGTTAAGCGGCACGGAGGGAGTTGAATTCCGTGGCAATGGCGACTCTTCGAAGTTATAATAACGATTCTGAAACTGCTAATGGGAGAAGGAGAAAATTATATCTATATAATCTATATATAATCTATCAATTATTAATTACTTGGCATCAGAATTCTTACAATACACTATTATTAACTTATTTATGTTATTAAATATTTTTGGCCGACAGAAGTCATCTTATTTATTATTATTATTATTATTATTAATAATTTAGTAAGTAAAAGTATAAGTAAATAGAAACAATTATTAATTATTCGGCATCAGAATTCTTACAATACACTATTATCAATTTATTTACGTTATTAAATATTTTTAGTCGACAGCAGTCATCTTATTTATTATTATTATTATTATTAATAATTTAGCAAGTAAAAGTATAAGTAAATGGGAACAATTATTAATTATTCGGCATCAGAATTCTTACAATATACTATTATCAACTTATTTATATTATTAAATATTTTTAGTCGACAGAAGTTATCTTATTTAATATTATTATTATTATTAATAATTTAGTAAGTAAAAGTATAATCATTCCTACTTCGCTACGAAGGAACAAATCACGTAAAGAATTCGAGATTCCCGCCGAACGCGTTAATATCGAGCCGCGAACGGAACGTTCCGGAAGATCCAGGCGATTGCACTGCTTTAATTAAATCGTCCGACTGGAGACGGTCGAACGGAGGCCGCCGCGCGCCATCCGTCAATGTTTGCCGCCACGCTCCGTCAGTATCTGCTGCTCTGGCCAGCATATTTTTGGCCGCGATGGCGGACACCGGCCGATGAGTCATTGCCACCGGGAGCAGCGGAACGCTCGTCGAGAGTCGGATTCTCTGGCCGTCTGCCCACGTTTCTCCTTCCGTTTTTGCCCGACGTGTCCGCCTGTTCCGCGGTGAGTTCTTACGTCGACAGCGACACGTGCCGCTTCGGGATCAAACGAGCACCGTCGTCGCGACGTTCCTCCGCGAGAGCCGCGAAATTGCATAATTCTCGCGCGTCCCATCGAGGATCGGGTCGCGACGGACCGGGCCGACGTGAACGTTGTCTCAGGACCAGAACTTGTCGTTTACGAGCGGTAGCTCGGTGGACGCGGTTAATTAGGGCGGTTTAGACGGCGGCAGGGTGGCGATTCGCT